AGTGAACAAGTGCTAGCATGATCCTACTGGTTGTGTATGTTGATGATATTGTGATTACAGGCAACAATGCCTTGGGGATCTCATCTCTCAAGTCATTCCTTAACTCACATTTCCATACAAAGGATCTGGGTTCATTGAAGTACTTTTTGGGAATTGAAGTCATGAGGAGCAAGAAAGGCATCTTATTGACTCAGAGAAAGTATGTTCTTGATCTGCTGAAAGAAACTGGGAAACTAGGGGCTGCCCCAACCAGCTTCCCTATGGTCTATAATCCTCTGCTTGATGCTGATGGTAGCATACCATGTGAAAATCCTGATGAAGCTGCTAAGAGCAAGCCATTTGAAAATCCAGAGAGGTATAGGAGACTGATTGGGAAGTTGAATTACCTTACAGTGACCCATCCTGATATCACCTATCCAATGAGTGTCCTTAGCCAATTTATGGTTGCGCCAACTGTCTGACAATGGGAAGCCTTAGAGCATGTGTTACACTACTTGAAGGGATCCCCAGGTCGTGGGATATTGTACAAGAATCATGGTCACACAGACATTGAGTGCTTTTGTGATGCTGATCATGGTGGGTCGAAAGCCACGAGACGATCTACTACAGGATACTGTATTTTGTAGGAGGCAATTTGGTGTCCTGGAAAAGCAAGAAACAGAATGTGGTGTCACGATCGAGTGCAGAAGCGGAATACAGAGCCATGGCGCAATCTGTATGTGAGATAGTTTGGATATACCAGCTACTAAAAGAGGTTGGTCTTAAAACCTCGTTACCAGCAAAGCTGTGGTGTGATAATAAAGCAGCCCTACACATAGCTTCGAATTCGGTCTTCCATGAACGAACGAAACATATTGAGATTGACTGTCACTTCATCCGAGACAAGCTCAAGGAAAACTTCATCTCTACAAGACATGTCAGATCCAGCGACTAGTTGGGTTATCTTTTCACCAAAGCTCTCAATGGGGTTCGAGTTGAATATCTTTGTAACAAGTTGGGCATGATTGACATCTATGCTCCAACTTGAGGGGGAGTGTAAAGATATTATAGGAGATATTATAAGATATGTAAATATCTTGTAATTAGTATATAGGATACGATATGATATGATTTCATAGTAATGAGCCATTAATACCTAGGCTCCTCTATTGTATATAAATACCCAATCGAAGTATCAATAAAATACACAATTTCCATACAATTACAACTATATTTAGCTTAGTTTTATTTGATAGTCTAATGACAGGGCTTTGTCAACCTCTAATCGATAAAGTGATTGATAAATGGTGAATTAAATAGAACAAGTATAAAGACTTTACCATTTATCTATGTTCTCATCGATAACTCGTTGATTGATCAAGTGATCGATAAATGCTTACCAGAATTGTATCCCTTTTTCTAACAGTTGATCGAACATTAAATTATCGATTAATTGATTGATAATTTTCTGCAAGCTTGTACATTAAACAGTGTTAATGATAATCGATCAATTCATAAATATTGAATTATCTATCATGTTATCAATCAACCTTAGGGCTAAGTTACTAACATACAGAGACATTTTATCTGATACATGATTGATTAACTTTTGATCGATCAGGTGATCGATCAACTTACTAAACCAGAAATAACTTAAATTGTTATCATCAAAACCTTAAATCTAACATTCTTCCCCTTTTTGATGATGACAAAACATATGTGTAAAATTAATCAAAGAACATCATATTTCATCAGATAAAATTTAATAGATCCAGAATCTAGTAGAAATGCACAATTGATAACAACATTCATTTAATAAACATCAAACTATTAGAATAAGCAGTCAACAATCCAGAGTTCAAATTACATAAACACAACAGTAAGCATAAAGAACAGAAAAGCTAAATAGAATTCTTCTCCCCTTTTTCGTCAGCATCAGAGGATGAGGAAGGAGAAGGGATAGTAGGCAAAGTAATAGGAGTAGGGAGGGGGGAAGTTAAGAAATAGGAGAAAGAGCTTGAGCGATGGGTGGAAGAGTAAGTGAAGGAGTAGGTTGAGGAACTAGAATAATAGCTATGGTGGTAGAAGGAGGAGTAGGAGAAGATGTGGAAGGGACAAAAAGAGAAACAAATGTGGGAGAGGTAGGGATAAGTAAAGATGGTGGTTTAGGCTTATAGTGAGGAGGAGAGGGTGGATAGGAAAGAAGGTCCTCGAAGCTGAAAGAAGTACTAGGACCAGAGAAGTTATTACAGAGAGAGGCAACCAATCATTTGAGTTCTCTAATCTCCTTGTCCATAGAACCAAATCTTTGTGAAACTTTCCTTTCTAGAATTACCATGGCTTGACGGTAGAGATCTAATATGATGTAAAGGCCCTCAAATTTCTTATCTGAAATTTCCCTATAGTCTTTAGTCGTGGCATACACTCTCCTCTCAAAGTCTTGGAGTTCAGACTGGAACATTTCCTTAATTGATCTTTCCATGAATGATGGTCCAGAAGTATGAGAGGGAGTTGCAGTAGATTCTACTTCATCTTGAGGTCTAGATGTGTGATAAAACCCAATTTTTATATATTTTATCCCATATAAATTTAGGATTTAAATGATAATTTTGAGCTTAATTGGATTTTTATGCATTATTGAAATAATTAGTTGATTTTTGGATTTTGCATAAAAATTGAGATTTTGGATTAAAAATATAGATATTTTGTGATTTCCTATTTTTGACTTGGAATTAATTTTTCTTATTTCTTTGGAAACAAGTCTCATATTTTTAGAAAGATTATTTTTAGAAAGTTTTGCAATTTCTTGCCTAATTTTTGTGCATACCTAATATTTAATTTTTGATTATATTTGGATATAATCTACATTAATAGATGCACTTAAATTTTTGTAGGTCAAGAAAGGGGCACATAGGAAATCCAATGGTGCAAGATTGTTTCTTGGAATCTAAGCACAATCCAATGGCTAATATCAAGTGGGTCAATTAGTTACTAATGGGCTTGACCTTTGGATCCACAAAAATTTCCTTTTCCCTCATTATATTATTTTCCTTATTTTTGGAGAAGGGTTCACGCCAAATCATACCCTTTTATTCTCCATTGATTCACGCACGGATACCATTCATTGAACGTCAATTCTCTCCTTTCAACATTATCCCATATTCACCATATACCTCACGTCATTCATCCACCAAATTCAATCACCTCTATCTCCATTCATACACGCACAATTCCTCACCATCATCTTCTCTTCTTTACTCCTCATGGCTCTGGCACTTAATGACTTTGGGGGGAAGATAATTTTCATGGAGGCTTAAGCTTGTTAGGGAGGCAACTTGGGAGGAGCATGAAGGAGACTAGAGCCTTGGGCTAGCACTTGAAGACCACAAGGGAGTGATATTCCATTTATCTTTTTAATTCAAGGACTTGAATTTGTTTAGTTTTAAATGGGTTCAAGTTGTAATTTTGTTGAGACAATTAAGTTCTAGATTGTCAATTTTATTCTTGGATTAAATTGATATTTGGATCTTATTTGTGCCAAGATACTTGTTGGAATATATGTTTGGAACCTTTGCATTGTTAATTGAATTTATAATTGAGTTTTCATTATGAGTTTAATTATCAATGTGGTTTGAATTGCAAAATTTGGGTTCTTTCACCTCTTAATTGTTTAATTAAGTCGGTTGATTATCTGATTGTTTAATTGGATAATTTCAAACATAATTTCCAAAATTAATTGAGTTATTTTTCATTGGTTTTAATAAGCTTAATCAACCAACCTTATACTGTTATGAGTTCTCTAATAGTTTAAGGGTTTTTAAAATTAAGGGTTCCCTCTGTTTCAAGTAGAAAATTAAGTTTATTAATTCCACTCTCTTATCACTTCCCTTTGGTCTAATTAACTAATTAAGGTTATGAAGGTTAAATCTATGCGAATCCTAAGTTGTCCCCTTTACCGTACCTGAAGAGAAATTTCTGAATTTTTACTTCTTAATTTTCTTTACTTTCTGATTAATTTTCTTTATTCATTATTTTTATTTTCCTTCAAAAAACCCCTCAAAAATTGCATTGCATTCGTTTAGTTTAATTTAATTTTCATATATATTTTAGGACATTTGCATCTTGCATTTAGAGTTAGAATTTTGCATTTTAGTTTAGGTCCAATTTATTGCATTTTTTTTATCACCTAAATTTTTACCTAAAGAAACCCATAACTTGCTCCTTAGAAGTAATGACCTAGGTCGACCCTAAACTACAAATTAATTGGGACCTAGTTTAATTGAGTGCTTTGATGACAAAAGGCATCATCAATTTTGGCGCCGTTGCCGGGGAGCAATGGTTAAACTTTAGGTTTGATTTCTAGGTGATTTTGTATTTTTTTCTCTTTGTTTTTTTGGTGCATTTTTTTCCCCTTCTTTTCATTTCACTTGATTTGTGATAGTTGCTTAGTGCATGACTAGATCCTCTAGCAAAGAATTGTTTGAATTTGATCCTGAGATTGAGAGGACTTTTCATCAAAGAAGGAGGGCTCAAGCTAGCAATCTTATAGAAAGTGATTCTTCTGTTAAGTTACTGCTGATTCCTCTAATTCTCTTGACTCTTCTCATTCTGACAGTAGCATGGCTAATCTTGCTAGGACTATCAAGGAATTGGTTTCACCTGATCTGCATTTTCAAAATTGGTGCATTAATTATCCTGATATTGACACTAATTTTGAGTTGAAGTCTGGATTGATTCACTTACTTCCAAAATTTAATGGTCTTGCAGGCGAGGATCCATACAATCACTTGAAGACTTTTCATATGATCTGTACTGCTATGAAGCCTTCTGGTGTGTCTGAAGATCAGATTAAGATGTGTGCCTTCCTATTTTCTTTGGAAAGTTCTGTAAAGAATTGGCTTCTTCGCTTACCTCCTGGATTCATTACTTCATGGAACCAGCTGAAAAGGTTGTTTTTGGAAAAGTATTTCCCAGCATCTCGTACTTCCTCCATCAGGAAGGATATTTGTGGTTGTCGATAAATGTCTGGGGAATCCCTATATGAGTATTATGAGCGCTTTAAAGCATTGTTATCCAGTTGTCGTCACCACCAAATTTCAGATACATTGTTGATTCAATATTTTCATGAAGGGCTCTTGCCTCTTGAGAGAGATTTACTAGATTCTGCTACTGGAGGTGCTCTTCTTGACTTGACTGTTGAAGCTGCTTGGAGATTGATTGAAAAGAAAGCTGAAAATACCCAACAGTTTGGTACTAGGCAGCAAGCTAGAGTAAATGAAGTTGGATTGCATTCATCTTATTTTGAGTCTCGCCTTGAGAGCAAAATTGATAAGTTAACATCTGCTATGGAGAAAATGATTGTATTTCAGATGAAAAACTCCCAAAATATGGCTCCTTCTGTGGGATCTTCCTCTGCTTTAATCTCACAAGCTGACTCTACAGCTCTAATTGGGCCACTTTGCTCTATTTGCTCTCTAGCTACTCACACCACTGACTCTTGCCCTTACCTAAATGATGGAGTTGACTCGTGTAATGCATTATACCACACTAAGCCTATGACTCAAGGTGGCCAGAAATATGATCCTTACTCAAATACATACAACCCTGGATGGCGTGACCATCCAAATCTCATATATGGGAGTGGCCAGCCTCAACAATCACAGTTCAATCAAGGCATAAACTCTTCTAGTGGTAAAATGTTCCAACAAGTTAGGCAAACTATGCCCAATCAAGATAAGAGTTCAAAGTTAGAAGGCATGATGAAACTCCTGATGGATAAGTTTGAACAAAAGGATTTGCAACATAGCCAAGAAATTCAGAATCTTCAAACTCAGATTGGGCAGTTATCTAATGCACTTAGTAACATGCAAAGTCAAGGCTCAGGGAAGTTGCCATCTCAAGTAGTAGTTAACCCTAATGTTGGCACCCAGCAGAATCCTAACATTGGTGGAGTTAATGCTATATCTCTTAGAAGCGGAAATTCAATTACCTCTGCAGATCCTGTCACTACCCATGCTTCAAAGGACAAGGAAGCTATCATTAAAGATTCTCCCCCTGCTTCCACATCGCATAATAAGTCCACTTTATCAACACCACATGTGGCATTGCAAGAAGAGCAAGAAAAAGATGGGGAAGGGAAGAAAGTGAGCGAGCAAGTCTTACCTTTTCCTACAGGGGTGATTAGGGCTGAAAGGAAAAAGAAAGAAGCTAAGATGTTCAATGAGGTTTATGATATCTTCAAAAAGGTGGTGATCAATGTTCCATTAGTTGATCTAGTTGCATAAGTGCCTAAGTATGCGAATTTTTTGAAGGAGTTGTGTACCACCAAGAGAAGGCTTAAGCATGATGGCAAAGTTGACTTAGGGGCGGTTGTCTCCTCTCTTTATCAAATGCCAATGCCAGTGAAGTGCAAGAATCCTGGTAGCTTTCTCATACCGTGCACCATTAGCACATGGAGTTTTCAGATAATCTAGCAGATCTAGGAGCGGTTATCAATGTCATGCCAAAATCAGTTTTTGCTCAACTTCAAGGTGTGGATCTTAAGCCTACAAATCTAATCGCTTCTCTTGCTGACAGACGCTGTATAGTTCCAGAAGGAGTCTTGGAGGATGTCTTGGTGAAGGTAAAAGATCTCATATTTCATGCAGACTTCTATGTTCTTGATATGTATGATGCTAGATTTAGGCAAAAAGGACATTCATCTTTGATATTGGGTAGGCCATTTCTTAAGACTACTAGGGCTATGATAGATGTGCATGCTGGTACTCTTACTATGGAATTTGCTGGTAAAATCATTAGATTTGATGTGCTTGACTCTATGAGACATCCACCTAATAGTTGTGCTGAGATTGATATTAGTTTTGTTGACATTATTACTGATGATGCTGTCATAGATTTTAAAGATAGTATGATAAGTAGATCATGTGATATTGTTGGCTTAGATGATTCTATCTCTTGTTCATGTTCTCAAATTGGTAGTTGTGATACTTGCACTGGTATAGATGCTGCTGATATTGATGGTTTCGCTGATTTCATTGAGATTGTTAGACATTCTAGTTTTGATTCTTCTGCACCTGTCCATGGACTTGGCACGTTCAGTGATTCTCATCTAGTACTTTTGTTGATTCACATGGACTCTCTCAGTTACATAGTGTGATTGATGCTATAGATGCAACTGATTCATCTACATTACCTGACTCTGAGTTGTTAGTTAACATTGATCATGTCCCTGATATAGAGGTCTCTGATTCTGATCCTGATGTTACTTCTGACATGAGTGCTACTAATAGCACTTCTTTCATGAATTGTGGCGTATTATTTGATCCTTCTGTTGTTACTGTTCCTGCTCATGATTCCCAAGTTGGGAAAGTCTGCTCTTTTGCTTGTGAGTCTTCAATGCAGGTTTCTAGTTTGACTAACATTGATTTGAAGCCCCTTGTGCCCTCAATTGAGCAAGCTCCTTCTTTAGAGCTAAAGCCACTTCCTGATTCGCTAAAATATGCCTATTTGGGGGAAGATGAGACATTGCTAGTGATTCTAGCTAGCGACATAGCTATTGATGACGAAATTCGCCTCCTGGAGGTGCTGAAAAGTAGGATGAAAGCTATTGGATGGACTCTTGCTGATATTCCTGGAATTAGCCCTAATGTGTGCATACACTGGATTTTGTTAGAGGATAGTGCCAAAGCTGTGCGTCAGCCACAAAGGCGACTCAACCCATTGATTCTTGATGTGGTAAAGAAAGAGGTTTCTAAACTTCTTTCTGCAGGTATAATTTATCCCATTTCTAATAGCTAATGGGTTAGTCCGGTTCAAGTAGTTTCGAAAAAGACTGGTATTACGTAATGATGGAGGTGAGCTTGCTCCAACTAGAGTCCAGAATAGCTGGAGGGTATGTATTGATTATAGGAAGTTGAATTCTGTGACCAAAAAAGATCATTACCCCCTTCCCTTTATTGATCAAATGCTTGAAAGACTGGCTAGTGGATCCCATTATTGCTTTTTGGATGGTTTTTCTGGATATTTTCAAATTTCTATTGCACCTGAGGATCAGGATAAGACCACATTCACATGTCCATTTGGAACCTTTGCATACAGACGCATGCCGTTTGGATTATGTAATGCACCTGGCACTTTTCAGCGTTGCATAGTCTCCATATTTTCTGATTTTCTTGAGCATTGCATGGAAGTATTTATGGATGATTTCACTGTCTATGGTGATTCTTTTGATGCATGCTTAGCTAGTTTGGATAGGGTTTTGGAAAGATGCATTGAATATAATCTTGTGCTGAATTTTGAGAAATGTCATTTTATGGTCAAAAAAGGCATTGTTTTAGGACATGTTGTTTCACATGATGGCATTGAGGTTGATAAAGCCAAAATTGACATTATTTCATCTCTTCCATATCCCTCTTGTGTGAAAGATGTGCGCTCTTTTCTTGGGCATGCTGGATTTTACAGGCAATTCATTCAGAACTTTAGTAAGATTGCATTACCATTGTCTAGTTTACTGCAGAAAGATGTGGGCTTTGTTTTTGATGATGCTTGCAGGTATGCTTGGGATGAGTTGAAAAAGCGACTCACTACACCTCCTATCATTCAGCCACCTAATTAGAGCCTTCCCTTTGAGCTCTTGTGTGATGCTTCTGATTATGCATTGGGTGTAGTTCTTACTCAGAGAATAGAAAAGCGGCAACATATCATAGCATATGCATCACGGACACTGGATGCCACCCAGGCTAATTACATAACCACGGAGAAAGAGCTATTTGCAATTGTGTTTGGGCTTGAGAAATTTCGTTCTTACATCCTCCACACAAAAGTGACTGTCTTTACAGATCATTCGGCTATCAAGTACTTGTTCAAGAAGCCAAACTCCCAACCCCGCTTGATTAGATGGGTAATGCTGATACAGGAGTTTGATGTGGAGATCCATAATAAGAGCGGTGCAGAGAACATGGTAGCTGATCACTTGAGTAGGATTGAGACTCCTGTGGTAACATCTTCTTTACCCTTAGATGATTTTCCTGATAATAGACTTTGTGGAGTTGATATGACTGTTTCGTGGTATGCTGACATTGCTAATTATCTGGCTACATCTGTTTTACCAACTTGTATGAATAAGCATCAATTAAACAAGTTTAAGAGTAATGCTAGGTTCTATATATGGGATGATCCCTACTTGTGGCACATTTGCAATGATCAGGTTATTAGGCGATGCATTCCTGATAGTGAATTTGAATCTGTGTTGACATTTTGCCACACCCTTGCTTGTGGAGGGCACTTTAGTGCTAAGCGTACTGCTAGGAAGGTTTTAGAAAGTGGGTTATTCTGGCCCACTCTATTCTATGATGCCTACGAGTTTTGTAAGAAGTGTTCCAGGTGCCAATTTGTTGGCAATATTTCTAGAAAGCATGAGATGCCGCAACAACCCATGTTGTTCTGTGAAGTTTTTGATGTTTGGGGTATTGATTTCCTGGGACCTTTTCCTACTTCGTTTGGTTATGTTTACATTTTGCTTGCTGTGGATTATGTCTCTAAGTGGGTTGAGGCAATCCCCACTCGTACTAATGACTCTTCTGTAGTGGTTTCTTTTGTCAGGTCTCACATCTTCTACAGGTTTGGAATCCCAAGAGCTATCATTAGCAATCAGAGTACTCATTTTTGCAACCGAAGTATGCAGAGCTTACTAAGCAAGTGTGGTGTGATGCATAAGGTGGCTACTCTATACCACCCTCAGACAAACAGTCAAGCGAAACTCTCGAACAGAGAAATTAAGCTCATTCTTGAAAAGACAGTGCAACCTAACAGAAAGGATTGGAGCAAGAGGCTAGATGATGCACTCTGGGCATATCGTACAGCGTATAAAAGCCCGATTGGAATGTCCCCATATCGAATTATCTTTGGTAAAGCTTGTCATTTGCCAGTAGAGGTGGAGCACAAGGCATATTGGGCCATCAAAAGCTGTAGCCTTGATCTTGCTAGTGCTAGTGTTGAAAGAAAGTTACAATTGCAAGAACTTGAAGAGCTTAGGAGAGAAGCCTATGAGAATGCTCGGATTTATAAGGAAAGGACCAAGGCTATCCATGATAAGCTCATCTTAAGAAGGGAGTTTCACGTGGGCCAAAAAGTTCTACTTTATGTCTCTAGACTTAAATTCATGCCTGGTAAGCTCCGTTCTAGATGGGAGGGACCTTTTATTGTTACTAATGTTTTTCCCTATGGTGCTGTAGAGATTAAGAGAGAGCCAACTGGAAGATGCTTTACAGTCAATGGTCATCGCTTGAAGCCTTACTACGAGGGGTTCTCTACCCAAGATGTAGAAGTTATCACACTACGAGACGCCACGTAGCCTTGGTTGTATTCCTTCCCTTCACTCTTTTTGCTTTGCATTGTCATATTATTGAGTTGGGCTGTGCTGGATACTACTTGCTTTGTGACTTGCCTATGTGTTCTGCATTGAGGACAATGCATTGTTTAAGTGTGGGGGAGGGATTTCATTCTTTTAGTTTTTTTTTCTCCCTTTTTTTTGGTGTGTTTTTACTTTTGTTTTAGTTCCTCTTACAAAAAAAAATTGTTTTGTTTTGTTTTGTTTTGAATGTGAAGATCGCAAGTTTGAAGTGATTCAAGTATGATGCATTCTTAATTTGAAAAGTGATTGATCATGTCTTGAGTGGATAAACTAAGTGGCAATGGATTTGACTTAGGTGAATTTAAGCTAGTAATCATGTACCTAGTGAGGTTTTGAGCCTGATGCATTTCTTCTTTTCATGTGTGTACATCCTTATCTCTTTTCTTGATCTAGAACTTGACTTGAATCTTGTTTGAGACCACATTTGTGCATTTGCATTCATAAAGATGATAAAGGCATTCATTTCAATTATTCTAGCCAGATAAGCCAAAAGCCCACCCTTTTCATGCATTTTTCCTTTGCTTAACTCCTTTGAGCCTTCATTTTTTTTTCTCTTAACCCATAGCCAAAAAAAAATCCTACCCTTTCTAAATGTCTTAGGAGTTGAAGAGTACTAAATTACATGTGCTTGGAATGGAAGAACACATTTAGAGTCATGGTTTGGGTCAATGTGGAAAAAAATAAAATAAAAGAGAAAACAAGAAAAAAATATTGTAACAAGATTCCGTTCCTCTAGTTTAAGCTGTGCTTAGTAACTGGGGATCTTCATCACCAATGTCGATCTTCGCGTCAAACGGCCAGTAAAAGCTATGAGTGTGCTAGTAATATCTTAGTGCCAATGAGTTATCCATGCTTGAGTAACCAGGCCTTTAT